AGGGTTCATGAAGCAACAGTAACATAACTTAAGAGACTTCCTATTGTACCGGGCAACAGCTCTGAAATACTGAGATTTACCAGAGAAAATACACTTTTCAAGTATTTTACACGAATACAAAATATTTCCTCTACTGTGAAATAGAGCTCCATATAGTAGTCAGAAGTTCACATTAGAGGAGATATCTGTGCTCCAAAGTAACCACGCTCACCTCAGTGGAACTGCTCCATTTTCAGTAGTGCACTGAATTCACCCAAGATGTGATGAGTGCAAAATTCATGAGCAACACTCAGCACTTCTAAAGGAAACTGCTCGAAAGGCACAGGGAGAAGCAGCAGGGAGACGCCTTGCCACATCTTCTGATTTGCACAATAAAAAAGACTAACAGGATTCTGGCACATGGAGTCAGAGCAGGCAGGCAGAGACAATGAATTACTGTGAGGCAGCCCTGAGTCAAAAGTTCTTAGCAGATCTAATCAGAGCACCTCTGATTACATTAAATTATGTACAGATTTTAAACTGCTTATGCTGTGAGGTAAAAAACGTTTGAAGCCAATTTGACTTCAGCTTTTCCAAGATAGCATGTAGTAGATTTAAATGAATACTCAAAAATGGCTTTTATCCAGTTTTAGTTTAGACAATGGGATTCAATATTATTACTAATTTTGTAGGAATTTCCATCAATAAAAAATCTAACAAAACTGCACAATAAACTTGCCTCCACACTTTAACAGTTGATTGTCCAGTTCAGTTTGAAACCACAGAATTTAAATTGAAGGTTTCTCTGAAGTTGCAGAACTGTGTGTACTTTTTCCCCATTACTGGAATTAAATTCAGACAGCATGTTGGCATTCACTGGATCACATCGCAGTGAGATGAAATGAGATATTAACTAAGAGTACCAAACTATTCATGTTCATCTTGATATTAAGGGGGTTTTGCTGGTTTTCAATTTTAAAAAAGCAACTTCTTTTAAAAGAAGACTACTTTTGCCATTTACTAACATGTACTATAAAGGAATTGGTGACAAGTATTTATGTCTTGTCTTGACTCATTCCTTTTCTTGTGAAAAGGTAATTGACTCTTACAACCCAGTTAATACTGTTTATTAATAATTTTGTTAATGAGATTTACTAAATGAACACAGTCAAGTTTCCATATATACAGAGGTTGTGCAGATTTATTTAAAAATAATTCACAGACATTAACAGTCCTAATTTAGCTATCTGTTGTAAAACTTTCCTCAGTGGAAGTGCATTTCCGTGCTTCATATGGAGGTGGATGGAGAAAAACAGCTGAAGTTGGTACAAAAACTATGCTGATCCTACCTACAGCTTGGAGCCATGGCATCAGCTTTTAACTATGGAAAGAAAAAATGATGAGGGCAAGGGAGCTGATCAAATAAACTGAAGACACAAACAGCATGGAGCATGTATATGCCATCATTTGTTACATGATGTAACAGGTGAAATGAAACCTTTCTTGTGACATTTAAATCAGAGGAAGATGACACTGCACAATGCCTATTTTCAAAACCTAAACCTAGAAAAGCACATACATAAAATTGCCATAGCAGTCCCATGCTTTGGAAGGAAGGGTAAAGAAGTGTTGAACACTCAGTTGCATCTCTGTTACTGAAAAGGTTTATTACCACGGACTTCTTTTTCCTCATCTCCAAGTACTACTTATTAATATTGCTCAGATGATGGATTAGCAGTTTCAATGATTTACATTTGATCACCATAACACAATGCTGAGTGGATTGTAGATCTGTAAATTAGTCTGCTGAAGGAGAACCTCAACGAAAAGAAGGCTGTAATGGACAGAAGACACTTTCTCCAACTACAAGAAATCCTATTTTCAGACCCCCTCGAATGTGCACCTTCTAAGGAATCATCTGCCAACACTAATTAATGCACACTAGATCAACCAATCCAAATAAGCCTCCAGCAACTCAGGATACTAAGGACCCAAAAATTACTTCAAATTAACTTTTTGAAGAGAGTTAACAACTGAAATAAAATTGCTATTAGCCTTAGTTTTAGAAAGAAAAATAAACCGTGTACTTGAAAAAAAGACAAATTGATTTAATCCTTTCATCCCAAGTATATTGCACACTACAGGCTGCCCCATTCTTCAGTTTCTCACACATAATACTTGGGATGCAGAACTCGTGGCATGAAACAACCATAATTTGTGGAGAGTGTATGTGGAACAGTCACCTTGCTGGCTAGGAAATGCCACTATCAGTGAGTGTTTCACTACACATGGGGTACCTGCCCTTACTCAGGGAAATGCTATATGGTATTTCAGGTGCTGGTTGGGTGATGCTAAGGGTTTTTGAATGCAGGGCAGCAGGGTGTGAACGTGGCAGTTTGTCCTTGATAAAGCAATCAGGCATGACTAAACAAGATTGTTGTTTGTACAGCTCCTCCCTTGGGTAAGCCAGAATTTCCAGGGCAACAAGCACAAGGCATTTCCCCTTCCACACCCAAGGGGATCAACAAAAGATCTCTATTTTCACTGTTCAAATAATAGAGCAATTAACTGGAGAAGCCTGAAGGAAACAAATCATGCCATCCAAGAGTCAATTGCTGAGCAATCTGACAAATGAAGGGTTGAGATTCTGCATCTCATGAGGAGATTAGTGCTGCTATCTGCCCAGTTTGGGCGCTGAACAGTAAGTGGCTGTATGACAAACTCCCTGGTTCTGTAGGATGTGTTCAGTAAGCAATACAGTAAGAACTACTCATGGCAGCTGCCGAAGAGGACTAGCACTTACTGACTGGAAAAGTAGAACTGTCTCTTAATTATATTTACTGTACCATGTTCATGGCACATATTTTTTAGGTCTAGCACATGAATTCAAGTGTACAGAATTTCACCCTAAGTTATAGCAAATTTCACTGTTTAAGGAAAACCTATTTGATCCCAAAAAAGTCTGCTTCTGGTGAGTCAGACTAGCATATAAGATGCACATACTAGAAAAGAACAGAGTGCATTTCTTCAAATAGGCCTCAGGAAGCTTCCAGCACTACAAAATGGCTGAGTGAAAGAATGGAATGCTAACCCCCTCAGGACAGCAGAAAGCTGTGGAGCAAACAGAGCATCACTGCATGGCAGGAAGGAGAAAGGGTTGCAATGTAGCTTGACCTACTCTTCCAACAGCTTGAGGTTATCCTAAGGCTTCATGTTGGTGAGATTAAAAAAGGATCTTTAGAACCAGAGGTTTTCACACTTGCTGGATTAATTCCAAAGCAAGTAATGACTTCTACTTTCTATGGCACCTAAGCAAGCTTCAAGAGATCAAAAACCCATCCCAGTTTCATGAATGACCATTTTATTTTCATGTATTTCAGTAGTTACAAATATAGTAGTTGACTGAGTATTTGCTTCCTTCTCCCAAGTAGCTTTATTAAATAATCAAGTGGGTTTTAAAACATAGCTTTTAAGCACATTTTTGATTAGAAAAATATTTTTTGTGAATCCTGGATTAGACAGATATTAATGCTTCCTCTCATACTTTGAAGTAATTTTACATGCTGGTTTCTGAAACATATACTTTTTTATCTCTCCATAAGAAAAGAAATACAAGCATTTATTTCATACCAGTTCTATAAGTTTTGTATTTTGAGCTTGAAAACAGTTGGAAAAGTTTAGTTTGCTATACACATATATATATATATATATACACCTCTAAATACACAAGATACTGCAATTCCTCAATTTAACACTACTCCTCTTACCTGAAGATGGTTACAAAAAAAATAGTTTTAGTTGCTGTAACTTTTTTTTTTACAAGTTGGATATGGTTACAAGATCCTGGATTACAAAATGCTTGATTCCATTAGCTTTTAAACGGACAAATAGGTATTTTAGGTTGATATGCTTTAAAGTCGTGTAGCTTGTAGCATTTGCCATCATAACAAAATATAAGAGAAAGTTAAAAACCAACTTTGCACTTTTTACTTAAAAACCACATAAGAAATGCAATACGGAACATACTGAAATGGAAATTTTTCAACAAACAATATATAGTATTAACAATATGCAGAAGCACTAAGCAGCAATTTTTTTTCTTTGTAATACTGCTCCAGCAATTGTTTACTTCCTGTAGATTTAGGACTACAACTAACTGGTACTGCAAGAAGAGATCTGCAGTTGAAAAACTGACTTGAACAATAACCCACAGAAATTCTACTCCTTTAAAAAATGGGATTATTCTTACACTCATGTAAAAATTACTGTAAATTAAATCCCAACTTCCATATGATTTACTTTCTGCAGTCACATATACAACACTGCTGTTTCGTAGGCTACCTAACAGAGCAGGTAACCTCTAAATTTCCACAGGCAAAAGGCTGACAGCAAATCTTGAAATACTTTCTTATGAAAAACAACAACAAAAAAATCCCAAACCCTTTGGAAGTGTTGTTAAAGCACTGTATTATGGTTTTAAACTCAAGTAATAAAGCATGCCCACAAGGCATTTCTTCCACCAATCCATGCTGCAACCAAGGGAACCAGCCCTATTACTGTATTATAAAACTAGACTATTACAGAGGGCTCTCCATCTCTCTATGCACTTCTGAACTCTAAAGACAACAGACTCATATTTGAATTTTAAAACAGTAACTCAATTCAAGCATAGAAAGTTTCTGGGCAACCCCTATCCCACACTGACTCTCAAACAAACTTTGCTTTAGATACGACCTAGCTCTTTTTTTTTCTTCATGGGAGTAAAGTTTGGCCTTTGAAAATAAAGAATACTTGTGATCAGCATGATCCTTAAATATCTGCCCTAGCCAAATGCTTTTACAGGGTTTTTTGTGCATCTTTCCAATCTGGCACAGACCTGCTCCCTAGGGAATTGTCACATGAGCACCATCTTTAGGCTAAACCTCATTTATAGAACATGACCCATAGCAAAAAATGCCAAGTCCAAGTTCAAAGAATGATTTTGCTTACAAGAAATCTCCTGGAATAAATCACGCAGTCCAGCACCTCTGCTCACACATGGTCAGCTGGAGCAGGCTGCCCTGCACAATGTCCAGTCAGGCTATGAGTATCCAGGGATAGCAACTCAAACTCTTTAGGAAACCTGTTCCAGTGTTTGATCATCCTCTCAGTAAAAATCTGTTTCCTTGTGTTCAGATGGAACCCCTAACTGTGTCCATTTAGTCCAGTCACTGAAAGCTGCTGAGAAGAGCCAGACTCCTCCATCTTCATTCCTCCTGCCAGGAGCCAAGATCTCCCCCAACTCTTTTCTTCCCCACGCCTGCAAGTTCCAGCTCTCTCAGCTTCTCACACGTGGTTCTGCACTAGAGCTGCTCCACTAAGTTTATCCTTCAAGTACCAGGGAGCCTAGCACTCCAGATGGATGCTCATCAGTGCTGAGTAACGAGAAAGGACCATCTCCCCTCACCTGCTAGCAAAGCTTTGGCCGCTGCTGCCACAAGGCTGCACTGCCAGCTCAAAGTCAGTTTACTGACAGGCTGCTGGCCAGTTACTCCCCAGTGGAGGATTGCCCCTTACAGAACTTTGTGAGAATCCTGTGTCCAGTTCTTCAGCCTGTCAGGGCCGCTCAGAAAGGCAGTACCATCAGCTGGTGGTACTGCTACTCCTCCCAGTTGATATGGTTTGTAAACTCCATCCCATAATCCAGGTCATTAATGATGATGACTAGTGTTGGCCCCAGTACTCAGCCAGAGGGTACACCACCACTGAGTTGCCTCCAACTGGACTTTGTGCCACTGATTAAACCCCCTATGCCCCCTCATGCAGTCAGTTTTTAATCCATCTCACTTCCCACTTATCCAACCTGTACTTCACCAGTCTGCCTACTGATGTAAAAGGCAAACAACACAGACTGTTCTCCCAAATCCCCAAAGCTTATTGGAGATGGCAGTAAGACTGGCCCAGCAAGATTTCCCTGTTGTACAACTATGCTGACTACCCCGACCACCTTTTAGAAATGCTCTCCAGGAGGATTCTTTTCCATCATATTATCAAGGGCTTAGGTGAAGCTGATTAGCCTGTGGATTCCCAAACCTTCCTTCTTGGTTTTCTTGAAGAGTGGTATTTTCTCTTTTCTAGTCTACTGGAACATCTCTTAATCCCCCTGGCCATTCAAAGACAAACAAGAGTGGCCCTGCAATGGCATTAGCCAGCTCCCTAAACACTTTGGGTGCAATCTGTCAGGCTCACAGAATTCCAGGTAAAGTGCACCCTAACCCAATCCTCCACCACCAACCAAGGCTCCAGATTTCCCCACTAGTCTCAGGGGCCTGGAATTCCTGCATGGTTGTTTTACTGGTAGTGACTGATGCAAAGGCAGCACAGAGTACCTCAGCCATGTCATTGGTCACCATCTTCCCTGCCCCATTCTACAGCAGGCTCATCTTTGCTGTTCTTGTCCCTGAAGAACCCTTCTTGCTATTCTGCCTGAAGGCTGAGGAACTATCCCACAGCAAATGGCTACTCTGGCTCCTCAGGCCATGTGCCCTTTGCCACACCCACAATGCAGTCCTGACACTTCTGGAGGCAATAAAGAGAATGCTTTCATTGCACAGGGGAGCTGGTCAGGAGTCCAAGCTGATTTTTCTGGCCTATGCTTTGTGCAGTGGAAGGCAACATACTGAAATGATCTCTCTCATGTGCTCTTTAAAATATTTATACCTTTGTGTATCTCTACTATGATTTAAAATTTCTGTATAAATGTGTAATGTTATAGACATGGTGAGGATATAAGAAATAATGTACTTGGAGGCTCAAGTACTGTATCAGAAATATGCACTGACTTTGTAAAAAAATTACTGTAATTATATTAAGCAAAATAATGACTAAACATTGCTGATTAGGAAGATGTAAAATAAAATGAGTGGTTTTCCCTGTAATTTTTACTGCAGAATTCATCTGTAGGACTTCTACTTAAACCCTTTTCTTCTCATGCAGCATTACAGTATTTTCCCCCCACCCATCCCACAAAACAAAAAAAACCAAAGATTCCACTAGGTGTTACAGATTGCACTTTTAAAGCAGACTCGCCAGTCTTCTGCATTTCCAGTGTCCTATTTTAATCTGTTGACATACACAGTCTTCCATTTTATGAAACTGGAAGATTTCGCCTAAGTACTTCTTTTGATGCTGGAGAAATGTTATCTGGGAAAATTACTTCAAACTCTATAATTAAGTCTCCCCGTTGGTCAGGATTTTTGGGAAATGGCAAACCATATCCTATAATTCTTCTTCTCATCCCAGGCTTTACCACTTCATTGACTGTCATGGGTATGGTTCTTCCTTCTATCGTTGGCACGTTGAAAGAGCTGCCACACAAAGCCTAAAGAAAGATTGTAATATGAGAAAAAGAAATTGGTCAGAACTTTTTTGTACCGATAAATGAATTTAGATTATTTAAAAGTGACTAGCATTCTAAATACCATTTCTCCTATGCACTTCTCAGATTTCAAAATTTTAATACTGTGTTCCTCTCTCAAAAAGAGAAAACTTTAATTTGTCGTTGAATATCACTGAATTTATGAATGTTACACAATGGCTACTGGAGGGTAATTGAGCTTTTATGTCCTTCAAAGACTTTATCAAATAATAAAGAGAGCTAAGCAGAATGAACTCCTTACTCCTCTACAGATGTCAGTCTTCTAAATTTCCAGTGGAAATTTCCATTGGAAATTTAGAATCCCATTTCACTTTTTGTTTGTTTACATTGCACAGGACTTTTTTCCTAATACATTATCAACCTCTATTATATCAAATTTCAGAACATTTAAGTGTCTATAAGCAGAGGTATCTAGAATCACAGCTGTCTTATGTGAACATCTGTGCACCCTATCTGCGGTGCCTAAAGAAATTCAAACAATATTGTTGCACCAAAATTTGAACATTACAGACCTTCTGCTTTATCCAACAGTTTATTTTCATTACTAGGATCTCTGAGAGTAAGACTTTGATTCCTGCAAGCTCACTTGATTCAGCACACTTAGTATACACTGGTAATGTCCAATTTACATAACAATGCAATGAGTCTAAACAGGCTTTTATCTGTGAAGGAACTGTATTATCCACATTAACATTAAATATTGTCTTTTCTCCCTCCCTCACTACTTTAAGTGCTTTACCTCACTTCACACTTATTGTAGAATTCTTTAAGGTACCTTAATTTACACGAAGTTCATAATGAAATCAAGAGTTTATTTCTCTACCTGATACTAATTAAGAAGAAAAAAATACTTTACACACACAGCTACCATACAGCTTTAACCATTGTGTCATATTGTAATAATATCAAGAGAATTGTTCTACCACAAGAGAAACTTACCTCCCTTAAGCTGATCTTAACAGGATAGACAATATTTGATCCATCTCTCTTGAAATGAGAGTGAGGTTTATCTTTAATGATAAAAACAATATCAGCTGGAATCGTGTTAGGTGTTTCATCGCCTTCTTTTGGAAAAGTGATCTTGGTGCCTTCTTTCCATCCTCTTTTGATCTCAATAGTGAGGATTTTGTCCTCTGTTCGGACACTTCTGCCATCTGGGTTAAGCCTTTTGCGTGAAATCCTCATTCTTTTTGTGCAGCCATGATAGATCTCTTCCAGTGACACTTTCAGTTCATGGATTACAGGGGGATCTTGTTTACGACGTAACTGGCTGCCAACTGTATTCCTTTCCCTTGGAAAACCATTCATACTGAAACTAGTGAAGGATCCAAATGGGTCACCATCCACCTCCATGTCTTCAGTGTCTCTGCCACCAGGCATCCTCCTCCCAAAGAAGATCTCAAAAGGATTTGTGCCACCGAAGAAAGCTGCAAATGTAGCATGTGGGTCTCCATGGAAGGAGTACCGGAAGGTGCCACCCTGGCCATCAGATCCTCCAGCTCCTCCTTTAAGGCCTAAACAGGAAAAATAAGGCAAGTTAAAAACAAATTGGGACTTAGTATAAGCTTTCCTGCTGTACAGTGTAATGATATCAGGACTGATGAGTCAGAAAGATATTTGCAGTAGAGTGAAAGGTCTGCTTTTCAGGGAGGATTCACCATGAGAATGTGAGGTACTAACTAGCAATTCAATAGCTTGAACAGCAAGCTTTCTGAAGCTCTAGAATGACTTCAGAAGAACAGGTATTCTGACACTGGTAATTTCATTTCATGTGATTGAAAGCAGTTATTTTAATCAATTAGCATCTTAAGAGCAGAAGACAGGTTTGCTTGATTTGAACTCCTGCTCTGCAAAGTGTTTTGGGAATTGCATCCTTCTACAAGGTCACTGCTGGGGAAAATTACTCACTAACCCCAAAATTACCACAGCTTGTGTTCCTATGGTACAAAGCATAGGAAGTCTCTTCAATGCAGCCACAAATAAAAGCATCATGGAACTTACTAAGATCCATTTGATACAAAACCCCTTGTATACACTATTGCTGTGTCCATGCAAAAAATCAGAAGGTTCAACAGTTTTGTTCTGTCTTTCACATGGTGAGATCTAAATCTCATTTTTTCATGCCAAGAACTCTCTCACTGAAAATTCTCTTGTACTTCCTGTGCTCCCATTTCAAATCAAGCTAAAATCAATTTTTTCAATGCCTCTTTGCCAATAAGTGTTCAATTACTTCCTTGTAACAGTGCTCTTCTGCACTAACCATTTCAGGTGCTTTCTCAGACTATTAGAAGGCTGAAAGTTCTTCTTAAGGTACTTTTGTCTTAAAGTAAACAGTCAAAGTCTTAAACTTAAAATGCTTGTTTTTTAAACTTTTTTTTCAGTCTTAGACCAACTCAAAACTACAGCTGCTATCATACTTTTATAACCATAGAAAAACGAAGGCTTACATTATGAGGGAGGCATTCTATAAATTTGAAAGAGGGGTTTGTAGGGGTTTTTTTTAGCTCAGTGTTCTCATGCATAACCTTAATGCTGGGTACCAACACTAACCAGCTAAGACATTAGACATTTCAATACCAGAGCAAAAGTACTTAAACTGGAGTTTGTTGGATGTCAAACATCCTTCTGACACACTACTGTTAATGCCAAATATGCAGATCAGGGGATTCAATCTGTGATAGCAGAAGGACACCTCCTGGAATAGCTGGCCAGAAGTTACTGAAGGTACATGCAGTTCCTGGCTGCAAAAACACTGAGGATTCCTCCTTCTTACAAACCCCAACCCTTTGCATTTCCATTAAAACCCTCTTAGAAGACCCTAGAGAGTAACTGAGGCATCAGGAGATATTCCCACATTCAACATTTTAAAAGATTATACTTTATATCTTTGCCCAAAATACTAAATGGTGCTGTTTAATTGTAAAATAATTGTAAAAAACATGGCCCCAAGCAAATAGCAATGAGCAGGCCTACTTGTCACAACGGAAGTTGTTATTTTAAAAGGAATTCCTGATACCATACACATTTATGGAAAGGGATGTTAATGACTTCCTCTGTTGCTCAATCATAAGACTGAAAGTCATGTCGGTCAAAAATTTAAAAAAAATAAAAAAAATCATCCTCTCCAGATAACCATTTTAGGATAAATGTGACATTTCTGAGGCCTCATTCTCTTGGCATGTTATCACTGTTTACAATTAAAGCTAAAAAATTGTTCTGGTATTTCATGACATCAGCCAAATTCTTTCCTCTCTAGGCACAAAGCCAAGGACAACTACAGGCTGGACACCTGGGCTTTTGCTCAGAAAGACTGCTTTGCCTGGATCAAGCAGATTGGCCTTAAGCAAAATTTTTAAAAAAGAATTCATGCCTTTTGAACTGCATCTCAAAAACTGCTCTGGCAAAGGAAGGCAGCAGTAAGAGATCATAGAAAGCTATTCATGTGTGATAGAAACTTATTCTGTTCAGTAACTTTTTGCCTGTCATGTATTTGGGATTCGTACTAAGCCCCATTAAATTAGGAAATTAAAACTTTACCAGCATTAAAGCCCAGCAATGCATTTTATACTTAAAATCCCATGAGCAGAACAAATACATTGTAAATATGCTGTCTAAAGAGGAACACATACTATGTCTTCATTTGTTTACTTTGCTTCATTCAACATGATGAAAGTGACCAACCAAAGCATAACAAAGGCATACATACCTTCCTCCCCAAACTGATCATAAATATCTCTCTTTTTGGGATCACTCAGCACTTCGTAAGCTTCTGCAACCTCTTTGAACTTTTCTTCTGCATGGGGAGATTTGTTCTTATCTGGATGCCATTTCAGCGCTTGTTTTCTGTAAGCCTTTTTGATATCCTCGTCAGAAGCCCCTTTTTCAATTCCCAGGATAGAATAGTAATCTTTCCCCATCCTGAGTGTTGGAGGAATTCAGATTTTCTTTGCTGTAAAGGAAGCAGCGTCCAGTGTCTTAGCAAGGTGGAGATGCTAGAGAAGGAAAAATAAAAATCAAACTTTGAATCGAAACAAACAAGAGCTGCTACAAAACAACAAACTCTAGCCTACATGAAGAAAGCCCGGAGAGGCTGTCCTGTTTCATTCCGTGCCCCGTGGCTCATTTATAAAGCATTACGGAGCGGGCACGCAGCGCCCTCCCCCGCAGGCCGCTCTTTCTAGAACGCCCAGCCCCTCACGTCACTTCCCCGCCGCCGGCCTCGGCTCGCGCCGTCCCGCGCCTGCGCAGCAGCGCCAGCCCGGCCCCGGCCCCGGCGCGCCCGAGCGGAGCTGAGGGGGAACGCGGAGCGGGAGCGGCGCCTGCACCAGCCCGGCACACCCAGCCCGGCACAAACAGCCGCTCCCGGGGCTCCTCTGCCCCCGGCGACAGGCTGAAACCCACCCAGAGTAATTATAGCGTTTTACTTCACTGTTTCTATAGAGACAGCTGTACATAACTCTTTTCCAAATATATCAACATGGAGCTGTAGCCTTTCCAGCAAAGGCTATGAAGAATTTTACACCCGTATCAACGACAAAGCTTCTGAAAGCAAAATTTCCTTTCTTTAAAAATAAAATTAGGCCACCCTCAACCACAGCTGACCATAGTCATGTACTATTATGCAGTAAGAATTAATCTGAGAAAAAAAATACCACCTTGTTTAGCACAACTCAAGCCACTAAATTAAAGCAGATCAAAATGTAAATCCTGTCTCACCCTTCTTCTATGGAATAGGAAATACCAAGATTATTATACAAGTATGGCAATATACCAAACATCCAAATATACCAAATATACAAAATATCTTTCATCTGATGAGATGCTAATAACAGAAAAATACTTAGTTCTTGCACATTTGTTTTAAAATATATAAAACAAATTCTACTACTGAAGTATTTCTTATGCTCCACAGAGAAAATACTATGGAGCATGAGAAATAAAATGAAGTTTTAGCCTGCAGGATTTCTTCCATACCTCTGTTAAGAGCTATAGGTCAAAAAATCAGCTACGTTTGTCAGTAGGGCAATGAACCACATGACAGGTTAACACAACTGAAAAATTACTCCTCCCTGGAACAAAGTATTGGAATACAACACTTTGAGTCATATCCAGACGTCGTCTGTATGAAAACAACTCTAGGCTGAATTATGAAGGAGGCTGCCTTCCTTCTAACAATAAAACCCACTAATCCTCTGACTCAGGGAGCATTACATTTGAAGCCGTTTTCTAGAACCTGCTCATACTTGCAAGAGATTGGAAAGAAGGGACAGAAAATGCTTCCTTAACCAGAAAGTACTAGAAAAAGATTTGGGACTTTACTTTCACTTTCTTAGCTTGCGTCATCCTCCTAATCCTCACACCATTATCTTTTCTTTTCCAATGTCAGCAATAGAATTTACTAGATTCCTTCCAGTGTTTCCACCTTGATGTGTTCCATCAGTATGCCCATTTCCCAGAATCCTTGCATTTCAGAGCCTGCTGCTTTGAGTCCAAGTCCCACAGATCCGTTCAGTGTTTGTAACCGCGGCCCCTGGGCTGGGAGCTCAGGGCTTTGCCCCGACGGGCCCCGCACACGGAGGCCCGGCGGGCCCTCACAAACCAGCAGCAGTGAGTCCTGTAAATCACTCAAGCCTTCCAGAAGCACTAAACTACACAGCTAGAAAATTAGTAAGGCCATAACCCAAGCTTTGATTAAGCATGATTCCGTAAGAAAGCTAAGGAAATTCTCAGATGTACAAATCCAGTAACACACTTGGCCAGGAAGCCACCTCAAAAACATAACAGAAACCCCCCCCACCATCACTTAACTTTCTCCCTCATTCTATCAAACCCCCCCCCACCATCACTTAACTTTCTCCCTCACTCTATCACATCAATTCTCCAACTGATATATCACATTATGACTCAATTAACCTTTTACATAATCAGTTATTTGTTTATACAGTCTTCAAATACAACAGCTACATTCCATTTCAAGCATACACAGAAAAAAGTTATCATCCTTCCAGTATCAAGTGGGATCTCTGAAGCTCTTGGTTATAGTCAATTCTGTAAAACAATTTCCCACCAAAACAGGCAGTCTCAGATGTGACTTTGTGTTCATATTCTGCACTGAGAAAGCCAACAGCCTGTATTTGTCCAGTGCTTTTTTACATCACTGGTTTTTGTTACAGTATAAACTGGGGGGGAAAGGAATTTCAGTTCAAGCTTTTTAACGCTGACTGGGGGGGAAAAATGGTACATTTTCAAATGTAACAAACTACTAAAATGCCAAATAGACTATTACAAATGTTATTGTCAGGAAAACTGAATAAAATTTTGAAAACATGCAAAACTTGCCTAATATAAGCAAGCTCTTACCTAGAAGATTTGCTATGTTCTTTGATCAAAACCTATGACATTCACTTTCGATACTGGACTTCCTTTTTTTATCTAAAAATGCATATGAAATACATACTATGAAACTGAAAATTCTTTCTTCAACAGCTGCACTTCAGAGACAGAGCCTGACTAATGCATTCCACTTGAGAATTGTTGCTTTAAAATGTCTTTTCCATTATTCTCTCTGAACAACTATAGTTTAACTCATATACATATGCCAAGAGCTATATATCTTGTTTGGCAGAAAGTGGGGGCAGGGTCATAGGAACAGCAGTGCTGATATCAGCTTTGAATCAGCTGATTTCTTTAAAAAAGCCTTCACAACAAGTGAGAGAAATTATGGAAGCATTTGTAATAACATACTGAACTCAAATTATAGATGCACCAGCGCATTAGGGAAAAGCTTCTTGGCAGAACAGTGTCAATATTCCCTGAAGTTGAATAAAAATGCTCATTATTTGATTTAAATTAAACCATTTCTTCTGTACTGCTCACTTATTAAACCACAGAAACAGAACTGAGAAAGACAGGACTAGATCACAGAACAAATTAAAGAGCAAACAAAACCACAAAGGCAAATTCCAGACAGATCACAACTATAAATACACATGGTGCACATAAATGTCAAGGCACAGGAGCCAAATCCCTCCCCAGGAAAAGCTTTCACAATTAAGTTCACAATATTTGCAAACCCACATTAATGAATGGAATAAATTCATACTCATCTACAATGGTTTGAAGAAAGCACACCCATATACAACAAAATAATTTCCTGTAACATCATCCATTGTTTACCTGGAAAAAAAATCCTACAACTCTTCTCCCTACCATCTTGAACTGGATGTAGCTGCTGCCTGAGCTATGTTTGTCTTTATGTACAATTTATACTGTGAATAAGGCCTGGTACATGCAAGCCCCATTCATGAGCTCTATAATTAAATAGAGTTTCACCACAGAACTATTCAGTAGCTGGTATCATACACAGAAATAAGTTTTGGAGTTTACAACAGAAGCAACAATTAGTATAAAAAATAGATCTAACATAAAATGCAAAGTGGAACCTGCAGAGCACCACAGTTCTTTCTAATGGATGGCCCTAAAAGAAAAGCTTCATTTAGTAATGCCCCTCATACCACAGTAAGAACCAAATTTATCAAATTTTTACTTGAGTTCTCTGTGGATCTGCTACTGTGACAGAAGTAAAAAGTTAACTGTACATAAGGATTCTGGGGCTGACTTTACAGCTAAATGAATAATCATAAAAGCAAAGTGAAATGCCACATAACTTACAATAAATTCATTGTATTTAGGTTACACCAGTCCTAGCATCAACAAATATGTATTTTTCATTGGCAGTATGTCTTTTAAAACAGCGCCCATAATATTACTGGAACATACATTAAATTCTGCCAACAGGCCAAAGGATATATTTTTAAGGTCTTTTGTGGAAAAGCTAACTTAAAATATACATTCCAGAAATTACATGAATTATTGAGTGTAAAATCTCAAACCAGAGATACACTGTTACCACTTCTGAATCCCAAAAATGTAGCATGTGATTCACATAGTCTTCTATTTCATTTGGAAAAGACTACATGACAAGATGCTAGCAATTTTTTTTAAATTAGTTTTAGCTTTCTTATTGCTTTTTGTAACAATAGACCAGAAGTCAGAAATAAAATGTACAACTGAAAACATTCATCACACTTTAAAACTTACTATAGTTTATAATATGCTAAGTTATGGGTTGGGTTCCTCTCCTCAGGAAATGATTATTTCCATTACACACTGATCAGAACACAGCAAACTTACATCTCACACCTGATTCCTGCTGACTAAGTCACAATCTCTACTACGGCTGGAACACAAAAATACTCTTGGAATAAACATCCACATTTTAACTTTTCACTGCTAAGAGGGAATGAACAACTTTGTGAAGGCAAGCAGAGCTCTTGGGATTCAGCAGTGATGTACAGATTGATGAAAACACAGGACTGCACTTACAAACTCAAAAGGAACCATCCAAAGTATGGTCACACAAAGAATTTCCATCTACAAGTTAAGACTTCCCCCTTCTACAAGAATACACATTCCAAACAAGAATACACATTCCAAAGGTGCTTTTCAATTCCTTACTCAGATTCTGCCCCATTTCAATCCCTACCAACGCATTTCTGTGAAGGGATTCTTGCTCAGTTTGAGTGGTGATCAGCAAAAATGCCAATCATGCAAAACATTCACCAGGTTCTCTCCTGTAACTGACCGTGCCTGTTTAACACACTACCGGGAACTTCAAGTAGTTAAGAATGTTCTCACATTCTTCTGTAAATATCTGTATGGAAAAGTGCAGTGTTTCGGTACAGAGAAATGCCTCCTGTTATTAGCAAAAAAACTTCACATTCACAACAAAGCTGAAGTTCTCTTTCCTCCAAGAAAATGATTTTAACAAGTTCTGAACAATTCACTACTTAAGTTGTAAGTCTGGGGCAAAGAAAACAAAAATACCGTAGCCAAACTTCTTTCATTTAGTTTTACATGTAAAAAAACCGGATTTTTGTCCTAACTACCTGCTGCTCTGATGGATATCACTCAGGAATTTGCCCAAGCCTCA